CGCGCGCGCGAACTAGAAATACTGTTAACCAGGTACCGGAGATCTTAGCACGCCCTGGCCCGTTGGGCTGGCGAATTTTGACGTTTTCTCCTGTAGAGGGACAGGCCCGGTTCAACATATCCTGCCGGACGGCAACGGCCACACGAACAGAAAGGATAGGGGCTCGTAGCTCTGGGACACAGCTGTGCAGGAGAGCCATCAGAAATGTTATCCGTGCTACTGCTTGGAAGAATCGAAGATCGGAAACTGGCCGAAGGCTGTCAAATCCGTGGCTGCTAAAACGTTGTTCCCAGAAGAGAATAGACAAATTCCTGGAAGGAAACTCAGCGCACGACGACCTAATAAACGGGCTGCTTCCTCGAAGAAAACAACAATTTCCCGGAGCTCCGTTTTAGCAGCCACGGGTTTGCCAGCCTTCGCCCAGCTTCTGAGAAGAGCTGTTGTTCGCCGACCCTTGCTCCCGTGAGCCAGACACGTGGACGCAGTCAATGCGGCGCAGCTTCGACAAGAACGCTGGGCCACACCATTCGGTCACGGCCTGCGAAATGATCAGGGAGACCTTGTAAGCCCTTGTCGCGGCCTCCACGCTGTAGGCCACAGTCACGTTCGGAGACACGTAAGACGCATCGATCTTGAATTCGCTCCCAACCTTAGTGTCTCAACGTTCCCAGTCCCTTCATGGACACACCTTTCATGAAGGGGGGCTACCCAGTTCAGTTCCCTGCAACACACACACATTGGATTTAACGGGCCACGGATGCATACATACGTATACACATAGACAAGCTATCATACGCACCTCTCCGAGGGAGAAGAGCTAGGAGGAGATGACTTGAACGTTCTGCTCCCGACGTGCTTGGCCGATTCGATCGGGTCATCCTCAAGACTCCCCTCACCGATCGCACTTCCCACGCAGAACGCTACTACGTCACGGTCCCCCAATCAGTTCTTGCACTTGGAGATGCTCACTTCTGGTTTAAGGAGCTCTGCCTGTGTGGCGGTCTGGCGGCTACGTCGTCGCCGTCGCCGCCCCGTCGCCGCCTCGTCGCCGCCCGGCGTCTGGGCCCGTCGGAGGCCGTCGGGTGAGATCGCAGTGGAACGGAGAGCCCCCCACTGGGAGATCGGTTTCGGTCTCGTGTTCGTGCCGCGCGTGCGGGCGAGGCGAAACTGCGTGGGCGCCGCGAGGAATGACCCGCCGTGGCTAGGGCGATTCGGCTGCAGTTGACCGCCCATCCGCCCGCGGTGGGCGCGCGGTGGCCCGGGGTGTCCCGCCGTGGTATATGTGGTATCCAGTTACTGTCCAGTTGGTGCCCCGTCGATGTTCCGTCGGCGGTGGGTGGGCGGTGGCCGGGTGTGTCCCGCCTTCGGATTGATAGTGAAATCGATAGTGAAATCGATCATGGGATCGCTAAGAGAGGATGGATAGTGAGATCACAGAAGAGATCGAAAGTGAGGTTGATTGTGACATTGGTTGTTCGATCGATTGTGGGATCGATCGCGAGATCGAAAGAAGGAACGATACTGAGATCGATAGTGACTTCGACAGTGGGATCGTAAGCGAGATCTATGATGAGATCTATAATGAGTCCGATAGTAAGATCGATAGTGAGTTCGACCGATTGTGATCGATCCTGTGAGGTCGATAATGGGATCGATCGAGTGAGATCGAAAGCGTGGACGATAATGACATTACCTCGCAGCGCAACATCGAGGGGGAATCACCAGCATCGTCATCAACTCACCTATCGTATTTGCCAGCAGTTTGTTGTTTCCCTCCCGCCCACCAGGCTCCCGAAGGGTGGTCGTATAGGTAGCCTGGGCCTGTGTGGTCTTGCGGCTAAGTCGTCGCCATCACCGTCTCGTCGCCGCCTCGTCGCCGCCCGTCGTCTGGGCCTGCGCGTTGGGTCCGCCGCCTTGTGGTTGCCGTCGCCCCGTCGCCATCGCCGCCCGGTCAGCGCGTCGTCGCCGCCCGCAGCCTCGTCGCCACATTGCTTTGTCTTGCTTTGCGTTGCGCTGCATTGTTTTGCATTGCTTTGCATTGCTTCGCTTTACTTCGCACTGCTTTGAAACACAATGCAATACTAACAACGCGACCGCTGACTGCAGTGAAATTCAGAAGGCGAATTCGGCAGTCAGCGACTGTTTTATCTCCATCCTCGCGACCGCGTCGTGCAGAGAGCGATCTCGGCATTCGGCGATCAGGAGAGCAAACAACGCGATCGTTGATAACTCTGCAGCGCTCACGGCCCCGGCAAAGCCTAAAGGGCTTTCGTCTACGCTTTACTCTCTCTCACTCCTTTCTTCTTCTTCTTTTCTCTTCTCATTGATGTAAGGCCCCCGACTCCCTATAACGCCATCCGGAGGCCTGGGTGGTGCATTCAGGCTCCGCGGGGGGGGGAGCGGGAAGGGGTCGTGCGTCTCTCTTTTCCTGAACAGCGAAAGCTCTCGTCGCCACCCGGGGCTGGGGGGGCACCATCCCCTCGGATGGGCCCACACAAGCACGCACACCCTCCTGGAGCTCTCGAACCCATCCCTCCCTTCTCTCCGTACTCTCCCTCCTCCCATTATGTTGCTCCAGTCGTACTAAAGGACCACATCCCAGAAATGATTTCGAGCACCCGGAAAAGTGTCGAAAGAGTGTCGAAACAGTGTCGGACGAATGTCTCCCAGGGCCCGACACGTGAAAACCTTCGACTTGGGTGTTCGTTTTTTTTTTTTTGTTGTTCTCTTCTCCTGGTGGTCAAGGCTAAAGTAGGTTGGAACATCAGAATCCCCCCACTCCTCATCGGACATCGGACATCGGACCTGCATCTGTCGCCGGCGGAGGCGTCGCAGGTTGGCGCCGTGGCACCGGGCAAGTGTGAGACAGATGAACAAACAACACATACGTGAACATGCTACGCTACAACATGCAATTTACTACAAAGAAGAAAAAGAAGGATCAGGCGCCGTCCTGCCTACATACGCTGCCTCAAGCAATTCCCATTTGTCGGAGAGGGCTTTTGAAATCCAGTCGGGCCCTGCGTAACGTACAATATCATCCGACCACCGCTTCTTCGGATGGCCCTGTCGCCGTCGTGCACCCAGTGTTGAATCGCATTGAGGGTCCCATCGTAACACCTGTGATGTCCATTCGTATTCTGCCACACTGCAAGCCTTCTGAGCCCACCTCCATTTCCGTTGGCGTAGGATCGTGACCCAATCGGTAAGTTGCAGATGCTCCATCATCCCTTCAGCTTTGTGGGTGGACCGTCGAATGTAGTCTGCCCGTGGCTCTAAGTCGGGATCGTCTTGCCAAGTCACCTCCGGTCCAAGTTGTCGTGGGTCTCGACGTCGTGGCGCACGCAACATCATACGCAGCATCTGGCGCTGTGTTCCGCGGAGTCGGTTTTCCATTTCAACTGTCGTTTTGTCCATGCTTCGCACCCATAAAGAATAGTCGATGTAATCGTTCCGTGAAAGAGCCGGATTCGTTTATTCATTGAACAATGCTTCCCTGTCAATTCAGTTCGCAGAGCAAAGAACTTTCTCCATGCCGTCGAGATCCTGTTCTCCAGCTCGGCAACGTGGAATTCACTGAATTGCATTTTCCTTCCAAGATATTTCGTCGACCTGTAAGGCGGCAAAATCTCGATTGTCATTCCGTTGGCAGTTGCGTGGCTGGGTGCTTTTTCTTTTCTAGACCCTCTGTTGCCGTTGTGGAGAATGCTTGTCTTATCCGGATGTAGTTCGAGTCTTGTGTTGGCGGCCTCCTTGCTCAAGTCGTCCAACATGCAAGCGATGTGGCGCAGCGACCCAGCTATCAAGATGATGTCATCCGCAAACCAGAGATTAGTAAGCCGTTCGTGCCCGCTGTGCAACTGTAATCCAATCCGTTTGGTGGACCACTTCTGATGTTCCGCATAATACTTTCTGATACGCAGTTGAACAACAGTGAGCTCCACGGGTCTCCCTGCTTCGTGCCCCTTTGTATGTGGAGCTCTCTGCTCCTCCTGTCTGTCCGGACTGTAGCTGTTTGCCCGTCGTGCAGTTTTGCGAGTAGCTGCACGTGCGCCACAGGCGCCCCTTGGTCACTAAGGGCTCGCCAAATGCTTCGGTGGCTGACCGTGTCGAAGGCCTTCTTGAAATCGACCGTGGCTGTCCACCGCGGGATCGCCCACTCTTCCGCCATCTCGTGCACTTGAAAGATCGTGAACAGATGGTCGCACGCGCTGCGGTGCACTCGGAAGCCGGCTTGGTCACTGCTTTGCTGAGGGTCTAAAATGGGGTGTAGGCGGTTGTATAGTAGTCGTAAAAACAATGTGTATAGCAGTGGTATGGTCGCGATAGGTCGGTAATTGCGTGGTAGCTGAGGATTGCCACTCTTGTAGATTACCTTAATTACGGTATTATTCCAGCAGCTTGGCGTCGGCGCCGTCGGGCTTGCAATGCTGTTGTAGAGATCCAGGTGAACCTGCTTCAGCGCTTTGCCTCCGGATTTCAGCATTCCGGCCGCTAAGCCTCGTGAGTCAGCCGCCCGGTTCGACTTAAGTTGCCGCAGAGCGAGATCAAGTTCATCAATGCTGAAAGCTGAGATCCCCGGGTCGGTTGTGGTCGGTGTCGGCTGTTGTCCTCGGTTGGTGTCTTGGTAAAGCTTCTCGTAGAGAGCAGCAAACACATCTGCAATTGATTGCCTGTCGCGCTGTGTCTCGCTGTCTGCGTTGATCATGCCACCAATTAAATCCTGCTGGTTGTGCGACTTGATGCCGCTGATGCGCTTCAAGTGCTTGTACTCAGTAAAATGGTGGTCAATGTGGGTTCTCTGAGTCGCTCTCCGGATGGCTCTCGCCTCTTTCCGTGTGGCTTTCTCCAGCCGCCCCCCGGCCGTAGTGTCAGACGGTGAAGCCTCACGCCTTGCATGTAGTAATGATGATAACTGCTGTGTGGCCTGCATTTGGGCATTTCGGCTGGATGTCAGAAAGTACCGATGTGATCGTTGATTCTATCTCGCCACATCGTGCTTCGACCTCTTCAATGTTCAACTGCATTTGTAAATCCAAAAGCATACCATCCAGTTTGTCCGTGAGACGCTCCCGGTAGAGCAACAGGTCGCATGGCGGCCATTTCGGTACTTCTCGGTTGGACTTCTTGTTCCGCTTGACCAGCTGGTTCGTGTCCGCGGTGTTCGCGGGCATCTTCATTGCCATTCGTACTGCACGGTGGTCAGAGCCCATGTCAATGGCAAGTGTTGTCTCACAGTCGCACATCGTGCTCCAAACCCGCCGGTTGGTGAGCACAAAATCGATCTGTCTCTGCACTCCCTGTGGTGACGTATACGCGCATAGCTGGCCCGGCTGCTTCCGAAAGAACTCGTTTGCAAGTCTCAGCCGTGAGTGAGCAGCCCATTGCTTTAGCCACTGACCCCTCGCATTCACATCTGCCAGACCGTGGTGGCCGATTGTTATGTGGTCGTCGTCTTCAGTTGCTTGCCCCACTCTGGCATAGCAGTCCGCCCCAACCAAAGACATCATTCCTTGCTGTGTAGCCTCCCGGTGTAGGCTCCCAACAACATCATGCATTGACTGCGCGCGTTGGTCCGAATATCCACCACGCGGGAAGCAACTGCTCACAATGCGTAAATTTATCCGTCCCCCGTGCATGTCTACACACGCAATTCTCTCATTGATGGGGCAGAACTCTCGCATCGCAGAAACCCACCGCTTGTGAATCACCATTGCGACGCCGCGACTGTTGCTTTGGAGTCCTGTCCCCATAAACGCATGGCCGTCCTGGGACAGCCAGAACTCCTCTTTGACGTCTCGCCATGTTTCGTTTACCCTCACAAAGTCCCAATCAATATGTCCCAATTCCATAAAGAATTCAAAAATCCGTTCTGCATTTGTCAATCCACTGACATTTTGATGATACGTAGTCATCAAAATACGGCCCGGCGCACCATCCGTAGCTGTTGTAGTAGCGTGTTGCCCCACCAGCTGATGGCGCACGTCTCGTCGATGATGGGCCGTCGGCAGTTGGAGTCCTGAAGGATTGGGGAGCTCCTGAAGGGAAGTCGCCGTCGACGCAAGAATGCTTGCCCCTTCCACCCCCTCCCGGTTTTCCCTGTGGGTCCGCAGCTGGAGAACAAAAAAGATCTGAACGTGCAGGCGTCTAATTTGTCAAGGTGCCTTGGACAACCTGGCGCTGTCCGTCCGCGTCGCCGGAATGGCGCCACTCGCTTTCCTCGGCTGGTTCGGGATTTACTTCAAGCCTCCACTTCCGCATTGACTCTTCCACTGCTGCTTCCGCCAATTTCCCGGTCACCGTCGTGCGCCATCCACCGTCTGCATCGTGCCATGCTATCTTACGTTCCTTCCCTACCCCGTCCCTGATCACGACCATCTCCTTCCGCCATAAGATTTTCACCTCTGTAATTGTGTGGTTGGGGTGTTTGCCTAAGTGGTACTTCGCATATCCAATCCATTTCTCACGCCCCCTCTCCTCCTTAGTCAAATTGCTGCGGAACAAGATGTATCCAAATGCCTCTTCATGTTTATATAGCTCGTCCCGCACCTTCTTCCAAAAATCCACCTTAGCCCGTGCACTAGGGAATTCAATCACACCAAATTTAGTTGGGTCCGCGGTAGTCTTCACAATTCCCTCCGGGTCGTTGCCTAGGAGGTTCCTGAGCATATTCTCCAGATCCTTCACGATTGTCGGAGCCGGCGTGTTCCCGTCGACGCCGAACGCAATCGCCTGCCTAGCTCGCAACTCCTTCTCCGATTAATCCTTAGATCCCCATGGCTGCCCCGTCCTGTGCGACGCACGGCCCCCGGAGGAGCCTTTGCTGATGTTCATGGTGTTCCTCCTTTTCTCGATGTATTGTTTCAGATCCTCGCTTGTTTTTTTGGCCTCGTCGACATTTTTGTTTACCTCCTCCCTCACCTCCGCCACCGCTTGCTCCGCTATGTTCGCCGCTAGCTTCGCCTGGCGTGCTAGGTCTGTAGCCTCCTCTGCTTCCTTCTTCGTATCCTTCATGTATTTCCTCAAGCTTGCCATCATGCGCATCGTCCTCTTCATCGTTGTCTTCGTAACTTCTTGTCGTCTTCTTCCTCCTCCCCCTCCCCCATCGCCACCTCTTTGGGGAGTTCCCCCTCTTTGATCTCGTCAGCCTTCAGTTTCTTATCCTTCGGTGTCGAACCTGTCGTCGACTCGGCCTTCTTCTCGCCGCCCTTGCCCGTGGTTGATGACCGGCGTCGGTCGCGAGAGCGAAAAGGATGCACATAGCAATGTAGAGAATAAGCACTGGTCAAAAGAGTAAAGGGTAAGAGAGAATCAAGATGGAGCATGGGCATCGGATGTGCGCCCGAATGGCTCTTGTGCCCGAATTGCTCTTGAGCCAAAATGGCTGCGGCTTTTGCCTTCCGCACGTCCACCCTCGGTTCCAATTCTGGTTCAAACGTTCTCTCTCCGCTTGGCCTGTGAGCGACCGCGGCGCCTGCGACCTTCCCTCGGGGGCCCGCTCAGGGAAAGCGCGGCCCGGGGCGGCCCCTGGCGCGAGGGCCCGCGCCGAAAAGGCCCACGGCAAACCAGCGCGGTGCACTTAGCTCGGGCATGTCCCCGCGCAGGAGGAATAGCAACAAATGCATCGATATAGTCTGGGGGCACTTTTTTGATTATGCTTGGATAAGTTTGGAATCTGTTTGTGGCATCTTTAATTTTGTGTCCCAAAATCCGCCCGTCGGGGGGCACGCCCGACCTAGCGGTAGACCGCAAGCGTCGGCACAACAGCGCGACAGACAACCGCCTCACGGCAGACCATTACGGCTGACCACAGGGGCACGGCAGATCAGCACGGCATGTCGCAGCAACGCGGCAGACTGCAGGATCACGGAGAAACTTCAAAACAATTGCGCTGCAACGCGGGAAAAATCAATACATCACGGCGCGCGAGCTTGGTAGACCATCAGAGCATTGTCGATCAGGATGGTAGACTACAGGAGCGTGGCGGACTAGCACGGCCGACCACAAACGCATGCGTATGTACATACATCACAAACAACGCATGCACATGCACTGCAGCTGCTGCCCGGGGGATCGCGCCGGCCTTGCGCGGCTTTCGCCTTCTGCGCCCGCGTGGCCTGAGCCGCTCGGAGTCTATGGCGCCGAAGCGGGGCGCGGCGAAAGGTGCGCCAGAGCCGCCCGCTGCCAGTGGGCTCGCAGCGCTGCTCGCGAAGGGGGCGCCAGCGGCTGCTACAGGGCACCCGTGTGCAGAGCGCATAGGAGACAGCGCAATCATTGGCAGTCTCTCCGCTCGGGCGGCCGGAAATGGTCAACTCGACAGGCTGCTGGATCGCGCAAGTGCCTCGCAGGATTCAGAGAGCCACAGGGGGGTAATAGTGTAACATCCTTCGCCCGCGGGCTCTCGCTTGCTCTCGGTAGATTGCCGCCGACGCCGCCGTGCTCCTCCGAGACGCCGACCTCGCAGGAGCGACAGCGTGGGCGAGCAGGCTGCTGCCCGATTGAAGCACGCTGGCCTGCGTCCGTCGCAGAGACATCGCGCTCGGTTGGCCTGGTGCCATTGCAAAGCATGGCGGCCTCGGGAATTCCATGCTCGGCCAACCAACTGCTGCAGAGTCCGCAGATCGCGTCCTCGATGCCAGGAGACGTGAACGCACTTGCGCGTGCTTGCTCACATCTGGCATCACGCCAGCAGGCGCACCGATCGCCCTCGACCACTTTGTGGATGCGGCTTTGGGTGACTTCTTGGGCAACGCCAGGGACGCTGCCAACCGCTCGCACCACCGGCGCGCGTTGGAGGTGAGCACGCGTTCGCCCCTGCAGGCGGGAAGCCGTTCGTTCACCGTGGCACTCACTTGGGGGGCCTGCGCGACTGCCTGCGTGTGCGCTACAGAACTGCGCGCTGAAGGCGACGCCGCGCCTTTGCCGGCACTCTCCCCGGAGCCGCCCGAGCCGCTTCCCACTGCGCGCGCAAGCGTAGCACAATCTCAAGCAGAAAGCAGCGCTCTTGACGCGCGTCGCGCCTGCGAGGTGTGGGATCCCGCCGTCGCGGCCGACGAGATCTGCGCGCGGTTCAAACGTCGGAAACTTGGCAAGGACCACGGCCTGACGCGCGCAAGGGCAGCAGAAGCTGATGCACCAGCAGCGCCGGCGCACGCGCGCGAGATACTGACCGCTAAAATCACAGCTGCCACCCTGGCCGCCAGCGCAGGCGCCCCAGCTAGTGAGCAGCCGCCTCCCGCATGGAAGCTGCTACTTTCCACGGCAGCGGGCGCAGCCGATGAGCAGCTTCTCCCAGATCGGAAACATGAGAAACAGCCGACAGCAATATCCTGGGCGCTTTTCCCCAACCCACGCGCGCAATTGCGCGCTGCTCTCGCGCGCGTCGCGCGCGCTGCCGTCGAGGGCGGCGCTCCAGACTTGCACCGTGCATGCGCGGCGCGGGGCGAGGCAGTGGCCGACGGCGCCGTCGGCAGGCAAGCCAAGCGAAGAAAACCTTGCGCGGAATACGATCCACGATGCACTCGGTCCACGGGAAAGAGCGCGGCTGCGGGCCTTGCACAAGCGCGGAAGGTTTTGATTTCAACTCGTGACAGCGGGCAGCTTTCTGGAAATATCGTGCCAACGTGCGCAATGGCAAGCGTTCGGCTTGACGGCGGCGCCCAGCGACTGCCGCCCGCGCGCGGCCTTGGACGCGAGCACCGCGTGCGACGCGCCGCTTCGCCGCCGATTGCAAGAACAGTCGACAGACACAGCCCTCACCAGGACAGCGCGCTGATTAAAGGAGTTCCGCGGCGACTTGTCCAACAAAAATATGAAAATTCACGTCGGCAAGGGAATCGCACCCCCGGATATTTTCCAAACGCCGTCGTTGGAAGTATCCTTCCGAAGCCGCTACTGCGGGCAACGGACGTCATTCTTGTTTTTCGGGTTTTTCATTCGCTCTAAGGAACTGGGCCTGGGCGGCGGTGTGGCGGCTATGTTGCCGCCGTCACCGCCCCTCCGCAGCCTCGTCGCCGCCCGTCGTCTGGGCCTGAATGAAAGTCCGTTAACTATTTTGTCGCCGTCGCCGCGTCGTCGCCGACCGTCGCCTGGGCCCGCGTGGCGGTTTGGCGGCTATGTTGTCGCTGTCGCCGCCCCGCTGCCGCCCGTCGCATGGGCTTGGGTGGCAGTCTGGCGGCTATGTTGTCGCCGTCGCCGCCGTTTGTGGGCGCTGCTTTTGAACCCAGTTGGCGGTCGCCGCGGTCGCGGTCGCAGTCGCAACCAGTCGCCGCTGTCACATATACTGCACCACGCAGATCGTACTGCATACACTACCCAACACGTGCTGTAAAAAATACACACAAACTCAACCGCCCCCGCCCCCCCCCCCCCCTTCGAAATTGACGCCTCATCCTGGGCTTCAACAGTCCGTCCCATGGAATCAATCCCTTCTCGTCCAGCACCATCCTTGTCAAATGATAGCATGGGCGCGCTCCCATTAATCAAAGTGTGGCCGTCGTCGTCATCTCGTCACTGTCATCGATACTTTCATGATGGATTCCGCCTTTGACGACGTCATAGTGACGCCGCGGCCGCCCGAGTCGCCGGCCCACATTGAAGCGCCCACGCGCCACCGCGACCTGTGCAACGCCCTAAGAAGTTGCCATCGGTCAGCGCCAACGCGGCCGCGTCCGTTGTGCCGAAGTAGCTTGCCGCTCGGCGCACGAGCTTGCGAAGGCCATCGCGGCCGCAGACATCCGCTAGCCAACGTCGGGCAGCCATCGAAATCGCCGCCACGTGGGTTTTGCAAACCAAGCGGCGGGCATGCGCGATTATTGACCGAGAAATGGGTCTGACAAATCTGATTTCTTCAACAACAATTTTACGCGCAGAAAACCGCCTATCGCCCCCCCCCCCCCCCCCCCGGGATACTACGAGTAACGCGCAATTCTGCCCCATCGTTCGCTCTGCATGCGCACCCGCGCCATCCCAGCCGAGCCAAGCACCCCCCCCCCTCGCCCTTTGCAAATGATGCCGTGCGTGCGCGCCTGTTAATCAAGAATTCACTCTTGCGCAAAACCCACATGCGCGCGACGGCGCTCACGCATGCCGGAACGATTCATAACCGTCGTGCGCGCAAGGACTTCAAGATCGACTTCGCCGAAATATGTTATGGATAACCACTGGTTCCGCAACGCTATTCCCAACAAAGTGCGCGCGCGCCCAAGCGAATTCCATCGCAATCACATGCGACCAAGCGGGCCTCAGGCAAGCGCACGTCGATTCAAGCGCCTTTGCGCGCGTGCTGGGGTGGAGCGATTCAAATATTAGAAAGCTGGCCACTGGCGCGGGCCGGCTGCGCGCGCATGTCAAAATCCTTCCGCGACCTTCATCGCCGACGCGCGGACGCCATCGTCATCGGCGTGATCGCCATCAGCACCGCCATTGGCCCTGCCGCCCTCAATGGCATCATTGTCGCCGTCGTCGCCACCGTCGTCATCGCCGCCGCCGTCGTTGACGCCGCCATGACACCGTGCCCGCCCGAACCACCGACTCGCAGTACAGTGCCCGCGGGGAATCGCGGCATGCGAGACGCGCTGGGAAGTTCCCAGCGGTCAGCTCCGCCGCGGCGGCGTCGGTTGCGCCAGACTGGCTGGCCGCTCTGCGCGCGAGCCTGCGCGCGCAAGCGCGGCGGCGGCGACGTGCCAGCCAGCGCCAAGCAGTCATCCAGAACCTCGCGGGCGGGTGGGATGACTGCGCGAGCCGCGGGTTCATTAACTTCAAATCCGGCAGGGTGAACTGAACATAACATTGCACCGCATGAGTTGCACCGCGCACCCGGCAGCACATGCGCTACACCACATGCATGGCACCACGTAGATCGCACAACATCTAATGCACCAGGTCGGTTGCACCGCACTGGTTGCACCGCGTATTTTGCAACAAGTAGATTGCACCGCGCAAGCTGCACTGTATAGATTGCACCACGTGTATGGCACCGCGCACTTTGCACCGCATGCAGTCCCCTTCCCAATTTAGAAAAATACGTTCTACCCCCCCCCCCCCCGCTTTTCGATTCCCCGGAACCGATGCAAAACACGTATGATCCTGACCCAATGTCCATCCTACTTGTGAACTCGTACTATCCCAGCCAGGCCGGCATCGGCCCCCCTCGGCTCACTTGCAAACAAATTAATCATACGGTGGCATGTTTTGATCTATCATCGCACTTGTTCGCGGATCCCGTTTAATAGAAAAATACCATGCGGGGCGCACGCGCGCGGCCGCTGCGCGCGCATGCCGTAATCCTTCCAAAGACACTTTGTTTTCAACATTCAACATCCCGCTTCAAGGAAACCGATGTAACAATATGATTCCCACACCCAAAAAGTCTGAAACATCTGCCCGCGCGCTCTTGCCGAATCCTTCAAAGACCAATGTTGTTTTCAACATTCCTGTCAACTCGGTTTTCTTGGGCAACATTTGCGAGCGCGTCGATCTCATTCAACAGCGGTCGCCCGCCTGCCTGGGAAAACAACCGTGTGTAAAGCATACCATGCGGGGCACATGCGCGCGGCCGCCGCGCGCGCAGGTCGACATTCTTGTAAACACATGGTACTTTCAACAATTTCAAGACCGAGCTTCATGAAATCACACGAATCGTGCCATACCTCCTGGGCAAAAGATCTGACAACAAAATTAAAAAATGTACCCGCGCGCGCGCTTTCCTAATCCTAAGAAACCAATGTTTTCGTTCAACATTTCTGTCATGCGAACAACTTACGCGCGCGCGTCGGACGCCTACAACATCGGTCACGCGCCTGCCAGGGCCGCAGTCCCTTGTAAAACCAACCCATGCGGGGCAGATGCGCGCGACCGCCGCGCGCATGCCGATATACTTTCAAACACACGGTGTGTTCAACCATTTCAAGACCGAGCTTCATGAAATCACGCGAATCGTACCATACTTCCTCGAAAAAATCTGCAAACCAAATCAACATGTCTACCCGCGCGCGCTTTCCGAACCCTAAGAAACCTTTTTGTTTCTCAGCATTTCGGTCATGCGAACAACTTTTGCGCGCGCGCGTCGAACTCCTTTAACATCGGTCGCGCGCTTGCCAGGGCCACACTCCCTTGTAAACCAACACCATGCGGGGCACATGCGCGCGGCCGCCGCGCACGGATGCCGAAATTCTTCTCGTCGTCGTCGTCGTCGTCGGCGTCGTCGTGGTCGTCGTCGTCGTCGTCAGCGTCGTCATCGTCGTCGTCGTCGTCGGCGTCGGCGTCGGCGTCGTCGTCGTCGTCGTCGTCAGTGTCGTCGTCGTCGTTGTCGTCGTCGTCGAAGTCGTCGGAGTTGTCGCCGGTGCCGTCGTAGTTCTCGTCGGCGTCGTCGTCGTCGTTGTCGGATGTCGCTGTCGTCGTCGGTGTCGTTGCCACGTGCCATGTGGTACCTACCGTCACGGTATTAAGAGGTCGTGAGACCAAGTTGCGGGTGGGAGAGTGGGATGTTTGCACGCGCAGCGGAGAGGACAGCTTCAAGACAGTCAAAGCGAATTGCTCCACATCGGCTGCACTGCGTAAATTCTACAGCGCCCCACAGCTGCGGATAAGAGTGATAAGGCAAGCGCGGGGTGGGTCGCGGGTAGGTCGCGGGCGAATCGCGGGCGGGTCGCGGGTTGGGTCGCGGGTGGGTTGCGGGTGGGTCGCGGGTGGGTCGCGGGTGGGTCGCGGTCGGTCGCGGCTGGGTCGCGGGCCGGGTCGCGGGCGGGACGACGACAACAAACAACGAAAGCAACTATAATAACAACAATACGAATAAAAGCACCACCACCACCACCAACAACAACAACAACCATTTTTAGACTGTTCGCTCCTATCTGCTCACGTGCCATCCAAAATGTATATCCCAAACTCTTGGTACCCGCTCTTTTCGTCTTCGATCGTGCCCCCTTGGGGGTGTATCTTCCTTACGCGCCACGTGCATGTAGTGCAGACCCTGAGGCAGGGGAAAAGAGGACGGGTGGAAAGGGGGAGGGACAAG